CCTTTCTTGAACTACTAGTAGGTTTAAACATATTTTTATAAACTTCATTCAAATTTACAAATATATTTTTTGAGAGTTAAGATAGTGTAAGGGAATGCTATCCTTTGGTCAAGGATTCCTAGGAGTTATTGCATACATACAACCACTCTAAATAAATACTGACCTCAAGAATACAGAAGTAATATAAATTAAGGTGTCAAAATTTCATATAAATATTCCCAGATTTATATTCAATTTTATGGCTTTGACTTTTAGGTAGAGGCACACTATATTTTATTTCCTGAGGCCCAAACTCATCCTCGAAGCTGATTATATACAGTACATCTTATCTATATGTGAAAATAATAGATGCAGCATGAAATTTCCAGTTTCTGGCTCTTTTTTTTTTTTTTTTGGTCAATTGCCTGCTTATCTCCTTCATTTATTTGTCTAATTGTGCTGTTCATTTTCTTAGGAATTTTAAATGATTCTTAAATGTACATTGATGGCACTTCCATGATTTTAATCCTTTGACATCTATCTAGCATCACCTTTCTCAGTTGTCTATTTACATTTTAATGAACTAACATCTATCTTTCCATTTTTGAATGTTGCATCTTATTTGTACCATCAATTTGGTTTTCATCTTATAACACTTCTCATGCACCATTATCATAATTTGAATTTTTGAATTATAGAAAAGATCAATCAAGTGAAGACTGACATAAGAGTGAAAGAATAAGAGTAAAGTAAAAACAGTATGTCTCCCCAATAACATCTCTATGGACAACAAAATAATCTTTAGACTTATTGCATGATCATTCTCCTTAAGTGTACATAAAAAATGTATTTTTAAACTTGCTAGTTTTTATCAAAATCAGAGTGTAGAATTAGAGTATTATTTACCTAAAATTTCAAGCACAATGTACAGAAACTGAAAACAAGCCCAAAGCCATCTGAGATAAGCAAGAGACTTAGCCTATATCCTAAAATTACCTATACAAGTGAAGGCAATATCTCGGTAGACACAACAGAAAAGTAAATGGGTATTCAAAAAGAACATCTGCAGCAGAACATTAGTAAAATAAATAATTTAGTGATAATTTATTTTTCACATTGCTTGTAAAGAAATAGATGATTCTGTCAATACCCTCTAACAATTCCAATGCCTTCAAGAAATTTAATGTGTTAAATTATACCACCACTTCCAAAATTAAAAAAGTTAAAACTTCTTTGAGGGCTAGATGAATAGGCCAAAATTTCAAAGTTCAAAAAGTCACAAGCTATAAGAGCTTATGAGAAAATGAACACATCTTTTGATACCATTGGGGAAAAAGAATTTCCTTTCCTACACATGGTCCTTCTGGCTGGACTAAGAATCAAACTGGCATGAGACAGATTAACAAAAGAAAATTAACCTTAATTTTGTATGTATGGGGAATCCAAACAGACATAGAAATTCCAAAGACAGGCAAAATAAGGTATATATGTCATTCTGAACTAAGGAGAAGGGGACAGAGATCTGGGATCTCAAAGAAAAGGAGTGCAACTCACAGGAAGATGAAAAAGAGTAAAGGTTTAATAAATGTTTGCTGGGCCTTTCAGAAACAATGGGACATGGAAGACTTTGATCAAACAGACCCTGCTGGGTTCCTCCCTGTCTATCAAAACTAGTTCATAGTATAATGTAGTAATCTATGGCAATAACTCTTTTCCTGGAGCAGTCCTCTATCTAAATTCTTTTTAGATACCTCTCAGTTGTGGGGAGGTAAAGAGCTTTTCCTGAATCTGCTGGGTTTTGATTGCTTTTGAACTCAAAATAGTCTTCATTGCCAAAGTGTCCCATCTTGGGACAGCCTGCCCTTGGCCTCTACAGTACTGATATAGAATCTGTGATTTTAATACATAAAATGTTAAAGTGATTAAATGACCCTCAGATACTATGTGCCTCTTTAAATTTTTGGAAAAAATATATTTTAGAATGCACTGAAATGTTTCTTGTACGAAGCACATGATGTGGACCAATTCATTGAAAGACTGAATATTTTGCAAAACATTCTCAGCAAACCCAACCTCTTTTATACAAACCAGACTAAATGCCTTCATGTGCCCTTTCTCTGTACTTCCATTTTAGTCACTTGGGTTTAAAAACTAGCTCTACCACATACTGGCTGGTGACTTTAGACAAATTACATGACCTCTTTTTCTGAGTTTTCCATCTGTAATACAGATAATAATAGTGTCTGTTTCTTTTTTTTTTTAAAGATTTTATTTATTTATTTGAGAGAGAGAATGAGAGATAGAGAGCACGAGAGGGAAGAGGGTCGGAGGGAGAAGCAGACTCCCTGCCGAGCAGGGAGCCCGATGCGGGACTCGATCCCAGGACTCCAGGATCATGACCTGAGCCGAAGGCAGTTGCTTAACCAACTGAGCCACCCAGGTGCCCTAGAGTGTCTGTTTCTTAAGGCTTTTATGATTTAAATGAGTTGATATTTTCCAAGCATTTAAAACAGCACCAGATAGTTCTGGAAACAGTGGTGACAATTATACAATAGTGCCACTGAATTTACACTACCAATGATTAAAAAGGTAAATTTTATGTTAATGTGCATTTTACCACAATAAAAAAATTAAAAAATAAAATAAAATAGTGCCTGTCACATAAAAGAATTTTTGAAATAAACTAAAAGTAACATTTACTGGGGCACCTAGGTGGCTTAGTTGGTGGAGCACCTGACTTCAGCTGGGGTCATGATCTCGGGGTTCTGAGATGGAGCCATCATCAGGCTCCAAGCTCAGTGGGGAGTCTGCTTCTTCCTCTCCCTCTCCCTTTGCCCCTTCCCCTGCTCATGCTCTCTCTCTCTATCAAATTTAAGTAAAATCTTTTTTAAAAAATAGCATTTACTACTCTGCATTATAATTATTTGCTGACTTGTCTATATCACCTGTAACTAAAATCTTCATGTGGATAGACTACATATTTAGCTTGTTCAGCATTTGTAGCTCTAACACCTATCATGGTCTCAGACATATAGTAGGTCCTAAAGAAATACCTATGACTGAGTGTGGTGTCCTGCAATGGAATGGGTTGCCTAAGAGACAGTAACTTCCTTCTTAGTATAATTATTTTAGGAGAGGCATAATGATCTCTTATTAGTGATGTGTCAGAGCATTTGTCCAATCCATGGGACTAGTAAATTTGTCTAACATTTCTTCCTAATCTAAGATTGCATTATACTATTTATCTTGTGCTTTGATATAGCAATTTTCATAATCTAACAACAGTACCAACATAATAAAGGAATTCCATCTTTCACCACATGCCACCTTCATCCCTATAGTATGCTCTGCTGGTACTAAAACACTTTTAGTCTTTTCAGATCTCCTGGTATATTTACATGCTTTTTTCCCTTTGTTTAAAATGTGCTCTGTCAAAATAAATAAATAAATAAATAAATAAATAAATAAATAAATAAAATGTGCTCTGTCACCTGTATGCTTCACCTTCTTGAGGTCACATTCTCTAGAAAGGCTTCCATGGTCCTCAAAAGGGGTGTTAATTGTCCCATACATGCTGTAATAGCATTTTGGTTTTGTTTTTATCACATGGTATAAGAGTTACCAATTTGCTAGTTCTCTAAACTATAGCCTATTTGGAAGCAGAGTCTGGGTCTTTCTCAACTATCTAACACATTGCCTGGTAATAAATATTTATTAAAAGTATAACGGCATGAATGAAACCGTCTTGTGAGGTCTACTGCTTTCAATTGTATACATCATCATTTTTTTAAAGATTTATTTATTTATTTTAAAGGGAAAGAGAGACAGAGAGAGAGAACAAGAACAAGCCAGAAAGGGCAGAGGGAGAGGGGGAGGAAGAGAATCTCAAGCAGACTCCCCACTGAACGGGGAGCCCAAGGTGAGACTTGGTCTCACCACCGGAGATCATGACCTGAGTGGAAACCAAGAGTCAGAGGCTTACCCCACTGAACCACTCAGGTGCCCCTGTACCTCATAATTTTTAAAGCACATTTTTTTAGATATTTTGACCAACCAACTGCCAATGCTTTCTTTGTGGCAAAATTCTGTCACAGTGTCAATGAATTCAAGTACCCCGGTAATGCTATTGAACACAGTATGTTATATGCAAATGTGTACCCCAAAACAAATATGTGCTTTTATTTTGTGTCTAGAACTTATATTCCTCAAAGCAAGTTTTCTTTAGCAAAATGTTTGAAGGCAAAGAGACCAAGCCAAAATTGGCTAAGACACTAACCATTTTGTCTGAAAGAAAGAAATGAAAACAAAAAATGAGTTCTTACCAACTGTGAACAAGACAATTTGTCAGAGATGATGAATTCTGATCTTCCAGGCTGTCTATACAGTGCTGGTGAGATGAAATGAAAATACTTTAACCTTATGAGAACTTGATGATTCCTACTCTACCCCTTAAAAGCTGAGCTTTCCATTGTTCCATTTATTCTGTGGTTCCTCACAAAAGATTATTAAAAGACAGAGAAAATCTCAATGAGGAAGTCTGACTTAAAGAGGAAATACTTTTGTCCATGAGGATAATAAAGGCTGCGTCCTGCACTAAATTTTCAACTCAAGAGGCAAGAATGGAAGAAAAAGATTTATTGAATGTTCATCAGTATCACAGAAGAATGCTCATTTCCCCTTGCATAATTAGAAAGTTCCTCAGACATGTTCATTATTCAGCAACTGGCATTCAGTGTACAGATGGCTCATAAACGATGACACATCATCTGGTGTCAGAAATCAACTCTGGACAATATTTAGCTACCTTAGTTTAGTGAAAAGCCTGTACTCCTTAACCTCAAGCCTCTCTTTGGTGAGTTCTGCAGATAGCTACAACCAGCTTCTGCCCCCCACACCCGTGACTTCCATTCCCGCTTCTCCCTCAGCTCCTGGGAAAGCAGGCTCAGCGTGCGTGTGTTGCTGCGTAGATTGGTAGAGACGGGCTGGCGCGTGCGCATTGGCCTGTCTGCGGCGGGTGGACCATGGAGGCCCCAAGGCCCTTTGCGCGGGAATGGTGCGCCCAATCACTTCCCCTGACGCGAGGAGGCCTCTTGAAGCTGCGGGTCTGGGAACTCTGGCTACTACTGCTGGATTTCGGTTTGAACGCGGAACTTCCTCACGAAGAGGACGTACACTTTATCAATGAGTACGTGAACGTCCACAATGAGCTCCGGGGCAACGTCCTCCCCCGAGGGTCTAACTTGCGCTTCATGGTGAGGCTCTAAGGCGGTTGCCCAAACCAACAGCCTCCTTGTCATGATGCCACCCCTCGGCCTCAGAAACCCTGGCACTGCTTCACTGAGGCTGACGGATTGCGGGGAACTGCACTTTTAATTTGGGTTTAAAAATACGCTCAAATAAAAAACATGTTACTGTGACACACGGTTATTACCAAGATTTTGCAAAGAGGTACTCAACTGAGGGAGTGTCTCAGTGACCTCACCCCAGTCCTGGACTTGATTTTGCATTCCCTTACAATGTTATTCTTCCTTTTTTCTTCCATTTCCCTCTCCTATTTCTATTTTACATCTCACCAACTGTTCTCTTGCTACTTGTCTTTGTGATTGTCATTTAAAATGGCTGCAAAATTTATTGGATAAATATTCTCTTACCAGGCAATTAGGAACTTCAGTTTACATTATTAAATGATATTGCAAGGACTATTTCCATAGACATAAGTCTTTTCTTCCTTCTGGATTAGTTCCTTAGACAAATTTGAGAAATGGGATAAATAAAGGATATGATATTTTTAATTTATATGATATATAGCAGTTGCTATTCTAAAGGACTACGCCAAATTAAGCAAATACCAGTAGTGTATTATAACTTATTTTCACACAGTCATGGGAAGCAATGACTAAATGCTTACAAACTTGGATTTAAGAGTTAAGGCTTCCTGGATTTAAATCCAGGCTCCACAAATTACTGACTATAAGTAGCTATAAGTAAACTACTAACATTTTTGTGTTTTAATTACTTCCTTTGTGAAGTAAAAACAATAATAATAATGCATAACTCATGGGATTATTGTGAACATTAAGTGAAATAATGCATAAAAAACACTTAGAATAGGGACTAATACACAGTAAGCATGTGATGGGTAAACAATATGCAAAACAAGGCGGTAGAAGGATAGTCCTTGGAGCATTGTTTGCAAATGGAAAGCTATCTAAAAGGCCATTAATAGGGGAATGGTAACAGTTATTATATATTATCCATACTATAGAATAATACTGTGTTGACTTTGTAAAACTTAGGTAGATCTAGTTGTGCTAAAATGGAACAATCTCTCTAAGTGAAAACTGCCAAGTTGAAGGCCAATTATATTGTGTCTGGTATGATTACAAGAGTACAGAAAAAAATCACCCAATACCTACCTAAAACATCCCCTTATATCTTATATTTGAATGTGTTTGTATGAATATGTATATAGAGATAGAGAAATGCATACATAAGCAATTTTTTAAACAATTATTACCTTTGGGGAGAAAAGTGTGGGGGATATTCTAAAGGAATATTTATTTTCTATATTTTCTATATTTATATATTTATGTATAATCTATGAAATTAACTAAGAAAACTCTAAGGAAATCTTAGTATTGGTTTTCAGAAATGTTTATTTTCAGATATATTGAGGCATGTATAAAGCATTTTGATTTTACAACTATTTTGCTGATTTATCTAAGTGTATTGTTTTTGTTCTTGTCCTTAAGTAAACAGTGAACTAAATGAGTCTCTAAATAATGATAAAATTACACATTTCTGAATCTTTCTAAATAGCTAGCCAGGGAACAGTATCTTGTGATATTTTCTTACATTTCTGAGACTATCCATAAAACTTTACATGTGCCTCTTTTATAATATTCACCAAGTATCACTTTGTGTTAAAATTTTATATTTATAAAATATAGAAGACAAAATTTATGCCCGACTTTGTATTTTATTCCCCACATTACAAGAGTTTGCATATACTCAGTATTCAATAAACAGTTCTTAGATGAATATTTTAAATTATTGTATTACTGTGTATAAAAGGAATGAGATTAAAAGTATATATTCTGAACAGACTACATGTAAGAGTATTATAACCATTTGCATCATCTAACAATATGATTTTTATTTTATTTTTATTTATTTTTTTAAGATTTTATTTATTTGAGAGAGAGAGAGAGTGAGAGAGAGAGCACAAGCAGGGAGAGTGGCAGGCAGAGGGAGAAGCGGGCTCCCCCTGAGCAGGGAGAGGAGAAGCAGCGACAGCCCACTTCTCCCTCTGCCTGCCACGCAGGGAGCCCGATATGAGACTTGATCCCAGGACCCTGGGATCATGACCTGAGCCGAAGGCAGATGCTTAACTGACTGAGCCACTCAGGTGCCCTAACAATATGATTTTTAAATTACAATTAAATGGATAGTCCTTTGCCTCAAGAAATAGTTATTTCATTTATGACTAACTCAAAAACATTTTCCCCCATAGAAATTCCACAAACAAGCCCATAATCACGAAGTTAGAATTGTTTTCCTTAAATAGAATATGAGAACTCAAGGAAAATAATTTAGAGAACAACATCAACAAAAAACCCTCATTATTATTATTTTGTTGTCTTTGCTTTTTGCATTTTTTTCAGACTTGGGATGTAGCTTTGTCACGGACTGCTAGAGCATGGGGGAAAAAATGTGTGTTTGAACATAATAATCATTTAGAAGAACTAAACATGGCCCATCCTAAATTTAATGGTATTGGTGAAAATATATGGGTCGGACCTGAAAATGAATTCACTGCAAGTATTGCTATCAGAAGTTGGTATGAAGAGAGGAAAAAGTACCGTTTTGAAAATGACAGTTGCTCTAGTGACTGTTCTAATTATAAACAGGTATCTAATTTTTATATTAATTCAATAGACTCCTTAATGGTTTCCTACCAAGCTTTTATTGATTATGTTTCAATTTTATAAATAACCCCAAATGGTAAAGTTATTATTTCTAATAGAGTCAAAATTCTAATCGGTCCTAGATCCTCAAAATGTCTGTAATTCCATCTATTATGTGAACCATACAGTGAAAATATTCCTTTAAATGTAGTAAATCTCATCTCCATACCCAGAAATGAAAGGTGCTTTTCTAAAAGTAATATACACACACTGGAAAAGGAAGAAACCAGCAAATAAAAATTATCTTCAAATTATTGACTATAAACATAAGTAAAAGACTTGATAATTTTTGCACAGATCAGTACACATACTACTATATAACTGATTGATTAAAACATTTTAAGAGCAAATTAATAGCCTTATTTTCCTGTCTCCTGTCTAACAATCCATCTTTACACTTTATACTCCAAGAATACTGAACCACTTGCTATTTCCTCTACATACACTTATTATTTCACTATCACATTATTTATAAGCATCTATTTACATATGATACCACACTGAGTACAGAGAGTTATCTTATCCTTACATTCTCAACATGACAAGAACATAACATTATTTTGGTCTTCTATAAATATTTGTATCAGTAATCAAATTATTGGATGAACTTCTAACTTGATTTAAGAGATGATTATTTTTCAATCAATAGAGTATGATGTCACGTTTTATGCAGAACTTAAAATCTTGTAATTTTTTCATGTTGAATTCATGTCTTTAAGTTCCATCAAATGAATCATGTTTCAAAAGACGTTTGACCCATTCTTTCTTCTTCTAGAAAGTTATAGTGGTTCTCCATTGTTTTACTCATATCAAAGCCAGATTTCTTAATATGATTTTAATAATCCCAGTAAATTAACCAAGTCTACTCCATGATCTACTCCTGTTATTTTTTACTCTTTAATTCTGGTATACTAGATATTTTTGTTTCCTGTATTTGACCTGCTTAACTCCATTTCAACTGCTGCAGACATTCTATTCTCTGTTCTTGTAATAGAGAATATTTCTTTAAGAATCACATTTTAAAAACCACTAAAACTTGGGATAAAGAGAAAAGGAAACCAGAAACTGTTTCTCTTTTCCACAGATGTTAACAGACAAGTACTTTTTTGTTATGTGGAAGTATTAGAAATACTAAAGCCATACAGAGAATTTCTGGAATATCTTCAATCATTCTCATATTGTCATTCCAATTCAAGACCTGTTTTTCTTTTTATAGAAACCAGCTCTTTTATATATATTTTTTTAAATTGCAGGCCCAGACTCTATTTTATTTTATAATGGAATTTGCTCAACAAAAGAAGAGAAATGCTGACCACATTCAACTACTCTCTATTCTTATATTGCTTTTCCTTCCCTTCTGTAATCTTGATGTCATTTTTCTCCCTTCTAGTCACAACTTCCAGTCTTCTAAAACTTCTCCTCTCTTTTCCCTCTTCCTCTCTGTCAATAACCTAGAATTCTCAGGTTCAACAGGAGTCTGAAAATTGATTCAGTATGTGGGCCTTCTTTGGCTCTAAAACGATCAGTGTTTCTCAAACTCTTTATCCTAAGGCAAAACCTGCTAAAGCTTTCTCTAAATAGAGTTTGGGAAATGCTTCCCTAAATCTATGACAATTCTCTACCTGCATCCAAATAAAGAATACTTTATATTCCTTAAATTGCTTGGTTAACGGTTCTTTGTGAATGGAATATATTATCGTTTATAACATGACAGAGTAAATGTTTAGAATCAAATTTTGTTTTCTTTGAAAATTTTATTTTAGCTTGTTTGGGACACATCTTACAAAGTTGGTTGTGCTGTTACTTCATGTACAAGAGTTGGACGTATTAGATATGCAGTGATTTTCATATGCAACTATGCACCAGGGTAAGTTATTTTAAATTTTAAAAGGAATATAAAAATAAATTGGGAATTTTTCAAGGTTAAGTTTTCCTACTTTCAAAATATTCTTCTAAATGTCTTTGTGAACTGTAAAAGAATTAAATATAAGATATTGAAGATTTTAAATTGAAATAGTTTAAATTCTATAATGAAAAAAGTCATATTTTGGAGATATTGATTTAACATTCAAATTAGCCAAGTATTACTTCCTAAAAGAATTTTAACTTTAGTATTATTTCACAATATCTAGCCTAATTAGTGTAGGATTTAAGTTATTTTCCAAAATAGTTTATTCCCATATTTATAGTAAAAGTCAAAAATAAGGTTAGATGTGTTGCAATGTATGTTTTAAGAATTGTTTCAGGAGTGCCTCAGCTGCAACTGAAAGACACTTTTAATTGACCATCCTTTGCAAGTTGCATTATTATTTGAGGCTAGTCTCATATAAAAAATCAATATCTCAAAGATGCAAGAGTACTTCAAAAGTCTTCTTTTGAAGAAATTCGAATTCTTTCCCCTTACTTACCATGTGATTATTTACCCTACACCTGAATACCTTTCTATGATGGGAAATAACTACCTTCCAAAATAACCTCCATCCCAGGAGAGTTTTGTTGGAAAGTCTGAAGTTCTCTTATAGGTCAAGGTGATACTATAAGTAATATTATTAAAATGTCCAACTAAGTGAGAAAATATCCTAATCAATATGTCAAGGAAACAGTAAAAAATTGACTATACACTAGGATTAAAAAAGAATTTCTGCCAAATAAAATGTTCTGAGACTAAACCAAAAAGAAAAAACAAACAAACAAAAAACCATAGATTACTGATTACTGATTGTATTCCTCTGGATAGGGAAAATAAGAGAACTATGATGTAAATCAAATTAAGCTGAGAAATCTTCCTGACCCTGTTTTGTGACCCTGAACACAGTCACGCAAAACAAGTCCAGGATGTAGAGTCATTATAAAACTTTTTAGGCTTCCTTTCATTCCTACAGACTGAAAGCATTGGGACAATATCTATTACAGCGAGAAACTTTTGAAAGTTAACTGCTGATTGGTATTGAAAATTCAGAGAACCAGGTACTGATTTAAGGGAGGAAAGAGGTTCCCTCTGAGGCACTAGTCTTCATTTATGCACTCAGCAACTCTGTACAAGGCACTGATCTATCTACCAACAAGACAAAAGAAGGCTGACCATATTTAATTTGTAGTCTTGGAAGGGAGACAAACAATAAATAAATAAACACATAAATAAATAATATTTAATTAGATAATAAAATATGCCATAAAACATAAAGCAAGATAAGCAGATGGAATATGGAATATAGATAGGGTATTTATAAGAGAAAGTGGCATTTGGTTTGAAGATGACTAAAGAATATTTCAGATAGAAATAAGAGCGTAGGGGCACCTGGGTGGCTCAGTTGTTAAGCGTCTGCCTTTGGCTCAGGTCATGATCCCAGAGTTCTGGGATCGAGCCCTGCATCGGGCTCCCTGCTCAGCGGGAAGCCTGCTTCTCCCTCTCCCATGCCCCCTGCTTGTGTTCCCTCTCTCACTGTGTCTCTCTCTGTCAAATAAATAAATAAAATCTGAAAGAAAGAAAGAAAGAAAAAGAAAGAAAGAAAGAAAGAAAAAGAAAGAAAGGAAGGAAGAAAGAAAGGAAGAAAGAAGAGCATATACAAAACATTTGAGCTTGGAATGAGTTTAGCATGTTTGAGAAATGAATAGCTGATTAGAGGTAGGAGTTGAGGTAGAAAGTTAGGTGACAGCTATTACCAAATAGCATGTTAAGGATTTTGGAATTTATCCTAAGTAATGGCCAAGTCAATGGAAAGTCTTAAACAAGTGAGTGACATGATTTTATCTATGTTTTGAAAAGAACCCTTAAAAAAAAAAAAGTTATCCTTGCTATTGTATTGAGCATTGAGTATAGGGAAATATGGGTACATTGAGGAAGTAAGCACAATTAGATTGTTTCTATATTACAGGCTATAGGCTATGGTATTCTTTTTTTAAGTAAGCCCTACACCCATTGTGGGGCCTGAAATCACAACCCTAAGATCAAGAGTAGCATGCTGTACTGAATGAGCCAGCTAGGTGCCCCTAGTCTATTTTGGATTAGGGTTTTAGCATGTGCATTAGTTTGCTATTGTTATATGATAAATTACCAAAAATTTAGTGACTTAAAACAGTACCCTTTTATTATCAAAGAGTTTTGTAGGCTGTAAGTTCATGCACAGTTTTGGCTAGATTCTCTGATCAAGGTCTTAAAGGCCAATATCAAGAACCTGACTGAGTTCTTACCTCTAAGGCTGTAGGGAAGAATCTGCTTCCAAGCACATTCTGATTGTTAGCAGAATTCAGTTCAATGTGGTTATAGGACTTGGACCGCATTTACTTGCTAGCTCTCAGCCAGAGGTTGCTCTCAGCTTCAAGAGCCTGCCCACATTCCTTAACACAAAGTTCCCCCCATCTTCAAGTCAGCAAAACCTTCCCATTGTTCAAATCTCTGGCTTCTCTTCTGTGACTAGCTAGAGAAAGTTCTCTGCTTTTAGAATGCCCAAATTATTGAGTCAGGCCCACCTCAATAATGTTCCTATTTTCAGGTCAACTGTACCATATAACATAAATTATTAAAAATGGAAATAAAGTCCTGGGAATTATGCAAGGCACATATACCAGGGGAAGGGATCTTATGGTCCATCTTAGAATTTTGCCTACCATAGATTGGGCATTGAGAGGAAAGGACAGTTTCTGCATATATCATAGAGCTATCTGGAGCTAATAATACTAGTTGATGGATTTGACTCGAGGGACAAATGGGATACAATAATCCAAGATGATACCTATGTCTTTAGTTTGAACAACTGGGTGAATAATGATGCCATCAACTCAGATAGGGAACAACAGGAAATGTGTTTTAGATTTGGACATATTAGGTGTAAATATAAATGTGGGAAATGAAATGAATCGTGAGAAGTAGAATGTTCTATGAAGGTCTAGGATAGGTTTCTAAGCAGAGGAAACTATTGGTATAAAGGCCCTGAGATAGAAATAAATTACAGTCTTGAATGAGATCACCTTATATGAGAGTATAGAGACTTAATTTAAGGATAAAGTCCTGGAACACTACGGTATTTCAACTTTAGACAAAGGAGGTAAGAGGAAAACCTAAACAGTCCTAGTAAGGGTATGTGGAAGCCAAGTGAAAAACATGAGTCAATATGCCCAAAGTGGTTAACCGTATGAGTTGCCTCTGAAAAAATGAAAAGCATGAGGAAGGAGAGATGACAGTTTCATTTGATAGGATGAAGGTATTTGGTGACCTTAATAACAGTAGTGAATGCAGGAGTACCCCATAAGTATAGTGATAAGTATGAAGCTACAAGGTAGGATTACTCTTCTTTCCACCCATCTGTCCCATAAGCTTCTTTGTCTTGGAATTTCTATCAACCATTTTTCTTTTGATACAAATATTGGCAAGTTTGCCCCGTGAAGGATCTAGGTTAGAACATATATTAGTCAACTCATTCCAAGTTTTATTTGATATGTACTCGTAGTAGACAGTCATAGCTATCTTTCTTAAGAAGTTAGTAGAAAAATCAACCCATCACAGTATTATGAAATACTGAGTAAAAATGAATATGAGAGACAAATTGAAAATTGGAATGTGTAGGGGCTAACTGGTGCCCCCCCCAAGATATATTCAGGTCCTAATTCATAGAACTGTCAATATTAACTTATATGGCAAGAATGAGTATTGTCTTATATGGCAAAAATGTGATCAAGATAAGGATCTTAAAAGGAGAAGCTTAGCCTAGAATATTTGAGTGGCCCTAAATGCAATCACATATATTCACATAAGAGAGGGAAAGGGAGATTCAGCACTTAGACACACAGAAGAGGAAGAAGCAAAGGGGTCATAGAAGAGGTTGGAATGATATATCCATAAACCAAGGGACTTCTGGAGCCACCAGAAGCTGGAAGAGTCAAGGAAATCTCCCCATGAGTCTTTGGAGGGAGCACAGTCCTGCCAACACCTTGATTTTGGACTTAAGGCCTCCAGAACTAGGAGAATAAATTTTTGTTGTTTTAATCACCCAGTTTATACTGACCTGTTAAAGTAGCCACAGGGAACTAACACAGAATGGAAGAATAAAACAGATTTGCCATAGAGAAAATATAAATCAATGACAACCTTGAAACATTCTCTCAAAACACAAAGATGAAGAATAGAAATCAAAATTTGTATGAAAAAAGAAAGGAAATATATAGGACAGATAAAATCTATAAATTGGTGCTCCTAAAGAACAGAGAAAAATAAATGGAATGTAAATAATAATCAAAGAAAAGAGAATGTTTCTAATCTATAAAATACTCATATAAAGATTAAGATAGCTCATAGGATCAGAAAAAATGAACTGAAACAATATTTACATATATCAATTCTAGTGATTATTCTTCAGTTTCAAAGATAAGGCTCATATATTTCTAAACAAAATAAAGTATAATTTTAAAAATATCAATTAGATTAGCCTTGAACTTAGATATTGGAGTTGGTACAATCAAATATGACAATGAGAACTTAAGCTTCAGTGATAGGTCATTTTATTAACTAAGCTAGGAAAAGATGTAGTATGGAGGAAAAGGATTTGTTTATTTTTGGACATGTTGTATCTGTAGGGGATTGCAGGACCTTCCATTTAATTAAATATATATTTGTAGTAGGTGCACCAAACAATGACTAGGCAAGAGAATTCCATATATTTTTATATGGTGTCTATCCTGAAAGCACTTGTACTCTGTTGGGAAGGACATATGTAAAAATAAACAAATAAATAAATAAAAAGCAACATTAACAAAATACATATATATGTATATTTTAAATAGAAAGGAGTTGTTGTAAAAGCAGGTATGAAATCATAGAAACAATTACCTGAATATAGATTTAAAAGCAGTCAGCTTTGATGCATAGATGAT